ATTTAGCGCAGACCCTTCACCAAAATAGAGGTAGGCGGTAAATATGAAGTCGAGCACGAACTGTTCGAATATACACTCAGGATTCAAAAATTCAGGTTTGAGTTTCAACAGTTATGGGTTGCACACTTAGCGCTAGGCCCTGTTGGTCTCTACATGTGATTCTCAGGGTTGGCTGCACTACTCGCCAAATGTGCAAAATTAGAATGAATCTTCTGCTAGAACGTGGAATAATATGTCGCCACATGTTTTGTCTTTTGTGCATGTGGTGAGTAGAGGTCCTTAGGGCCATTGCACGTATTCCTCATAAACGGAAAACGAGAAAAAAAAGAATTATTGACCCATAACCGTGATGCACAAACCTGAATTTGAATCCAGACTATATATATTCTTGGCCCACACATACAAACTGGAAGTCTAAAGTCGATCTCTGCTCCACATGGGGTCCTCGCTAGTTTGCTGTAGGGGCCCTTTGGAAAAGATACTGGATAAAATTAGGATATGCACATCTGCACTCACAAACATGTGGCCAAAGTTTTATCGTATGACGTGGTCCCGACTTTTTCCCCTATTGCTTTCTGATTTTTAGAAGCGAGGGGCATGCTTGGCCACCTCACCCTGTCCTTTCAATTTTTTTTATTTTTATTTTTTGTGGTGTGCCGCATCATGAGCGTGTGCGTGCATGCGCGTGCGCTCTGCCCCCTGTGTGGCGCAACCTCGCTCGTGGGATGCGCCGCAAGTATGGTACTTTCACAACGTCGAGGCATATCAAAATATGGTACCAAAAACCCAAAATTGAAATATGAAGCGAAAAATCTCACAAGTCTCGCTCTTCGAGCCTTTGATTTTAGAGAATTGCAAGGCTCAACAATTGATACAAAAATTTATCAACATTTGTATGATTCATGGGAAAAAAACAAAATCTCGTGCGAATAGCCAGACTCGCTAGAGTTGGAACATTTCAGGAAGCGTGGTTCACACATTGTTTCTAGAATAGTGCGCATTACCTCAACACTTCATGTCCAACATTCGGCGAAGATGTCCGAATTGCTGCACTTTGTGCCTAGGGGTTCACAAGGGCATACCACACGTGTAGCTCACACCCTTGGCCTGGGGCAACTTGAGATGGTGTGGCGCAGTTGGAGCCGCCTTGCAATCGAGATCCGCGACCTGGGCGCACCTAATAATTCCTTGCATCATAGGAGTGGTTGCATCTTGAAATCCGTATTGCCAAGGCTTTGCAACGTTCATATAAGCAATATGAAATAACCATTTGTTTTTCATTTTGCAAATCAATTTATATATGTTTTGAAAACTAGTACACTAGGCACGAAGTGCTAATGTTTTTCGAACAAGTCATGGTTATTTGATAAGGTTTTTAATGATTTCATAGCTAAATCATTTTTACGTTTTGGGTATGAAGTTTCTTTGAAAACTTTAGACAAAGGTGCTATTTCCATTTTTGGTCCCTTCGGAATTTCCACCACATTTAAAAAATTAGCAAAGCAAATAAGTACACCTCAATGTGGTTGTGCGTACCATTATGCTTTTGTTATGTTAATCGGGTTAACCATATTATTACCATCATAGTTCTTTGGGACTTTATTTCATTTTGGGTTGGTAATAGATTGTATTTTATGTACTTCTTGAAATTTTTATTTATTCATCTCGAATGAGACGTAAGAACCAACTAAAAATTTGTTGAAACCACCCAAAAAAAACAAACACATATGATTTGACAATCTGAGTGGTCTTATTAAGTGGCCTCTTTTAGGGTCTCTTATCGTTTGACTTATTCCCAACTCGAAGGCCTAAAATTAGTCCAATTACAATCCATGAAGTAATTAAAACCTGTGGAAGTACTTCAAAGGAAATACAAATGTTGTCCTAATTCTACAACGATGATTTGATACTCTAGTGGAGTCTTAATATAACATGGATTATATAACAAACAGAGTACGTTCGCGCACTTCCCCATGTATAGTATAATATATAATACGGGTTAACTGTAGGACGCTTTGATACGAAAGTGACTTGTTGTCCTACTTCTACAACGACGATCTGATACTCTAATAGATTCTTAATTTAACATGGATTATATAACAAACAGCGTACGTTTGCGCACTTCCCCATGTATAGTATAATATATAATACAGGTTAATTGTAGGATGCTTTGAGCCGAAAGTGAGTCCAATTCGCCAGAACAAACTCAACTTTGTAAACGTTAGCGGGCTCGCATTGAATTTTTGGTATATCTTATTTTATTTATCAAGATGGCGACGCACAACCTCGACAACGCTTTTGGAACATACTATAGGTAGTTTCATTGCGAAATATGCAAAAAAAGCAATCCATAGCTATATTTAATGTCGTTTGCGAAATTATGTTGTTAATAAGATTTGTAAATCAGTGGTTCCCGTTTGAAACAAAATAAAAAAATAGCTAAAAGCGTAGGGCAATCCAAGAGGAATGATTTGGATCGTATTCAATACTCTCTACCTTACCCATCATCATAAGTGTTATGTTGAAAGTCAATTCTTCGCTGCAATCGTTTTGCGTGGGAACCTCTATGGAAAAGGGTGATACGACCTGTGGAATTTCGTCCAGCAGACGCCTTAGAGTTGTCAGTTCCAAATTCATTGGTCAATCAGCAGGCACGCCGTAGTTTGATTGAAGAGGAGCCTCAAAGACTACAAGCGAAGCAACATTTGCCACCTCTTAGTGCTGCGCAAATGGGATAAGATAAGGGGAAAATTGTTGAAATACCCCTAAAAGTTGGGGTATTTCGCCATATACCCCCTAAAACACAGGGGTACGTCGAAATGCCCCAAATTTTTGAACCTGCCCCTGGCCCGGTCATCACCAACTTAGCCATATGCCATAGCCCTAGACTGCAGGGGCCGGTGAATTTCTTTTTCCAACTGCACGACCCAATGGCTAGAAATATTGGGGCATATAGACAAGTTACCCAGGGCCCGGTAGGGGTATATGTAGAAGATGGCAGTTCCAATTGGGTAGTGGGGCATTTCGCAAAGTTTCCCACTTGTCATAGGGGCATTTTGCCATACCTATGCATTTCAGGGGTATCTAGCGAATTACCCTAATTTTTAGGGGCATTTCAACAATTTCCCTAAGATAAGATAAGATAAGAAGGGAAAAGAAATAAAACAGATATCACATGTGGAAAGATCATAAGCGATCAGAACCTGAACAAAATGGATGGTGTTCAACTCTCAGCTAGAAAAGGCCCAGCTGATTATGTTTTGGATAATGTAGGAGAAGATAGATAAGAGAAGATAAACTAAGATAAGATAAGATGGTCCTTCGAGACATCCGTTAAAATTGGAATGATCTGGAGAAGATTAGCGTGGACCCTGCATAAGGATGACACGCGTTAATTGAGAAATGGTCCCAAATTATTCCTTCGACCAGGTAAATTAGATAGTTATTGCCGCTATTTGGTCATATGTGAAGTGAAATGGCCAGAGCCTACCCGCCTCCCGCCAAAATGAAGATAGTATTGTTTTTTTTTTCTTTTTCAATTAAAAAAAACGCACCTAAGTTAAGAAACCACGAAGCGATTCAGATTACAGAGCTTCTTGGACCGGTAGAATAAAATCTGACTTAAAGTGAACTGAACCGATATGGACAGTGTTCTAGTACGTTGGACGGACTCAGTATGGGACTACGTCAAGCCGCGGAGCAATTTAGACCATCGAATGTGTAAGAAATTGGTTCGGGCCCACATAAAAAAATTGTTCGTTCTGCTCTCACGCGTGTCCTGCTCTCACCTGCATGTTGCATGCATCATGTACTCTCCCCTGTGTGCTCTCACTTGCGTGCTTTCATCTGCATGCTCTCTCCTGTCTGCTCTCACCTGCGCCCTGCTCTCATGTGCGTCCTCTGACGTGCCTGCTGGTCTCATCTGCGTGCTTGGTCCTGTCAAGCGTTCGCCCACGTGCCTTGCATGTTGCCCGTTCGTGTGCAGCGTGATGCTCTCACCTGTGTGCTTCGTCCAGTCAAGCATCCACCCAGGTGGCTTGTTTGTTTGAGTTCCTAGCCTCGGGTCCTTTGGTAATCACTGGCGATTTGTGCCAAGGATGAATTAGACAAGTTGACACAAAATTTCGGCAAGCGAATCGAGGCAAGGTTCTAGATCGACAGTCTATGGAAGGAGCAGGCTCATGATTATTACTAACATGCGAAACTGTTCCGCTAAGTTGGTATTTTCGCCTGTCGAGGTGGTCTGTGTCGACTCTCAAATCGGTCGATCTTTGGACGAAATCGGTAATTGGCAATACTAATTTGTGAAGTCATTTTGCGGAACATAATCAAGCGTCCAAACTGTTAAATCTTTGTGTCCAAATGCTCGCCATTTCTCCTAACCTCTATCTGCTGCTTATATCTGTTCGGATAATGAGGTAAATAGGAAATTCGAGATGAGCAATTTGGTTTGATGGCTGACCAATTGAAATGTCGTTTGTCGAAATCGGTTCGGGTTCTTGACTAGTGCGTTTTCTACAACATCGCGTTCTTGAGTTCCGCCTGTTGTAATTTCTGAAGTTATTGAACCTTCTTGAGTACTCTCTCTCTATGTAATTTTTGTAACCTTTGACACTTTTCCTAACTATTGTGGGGTGTGCATGTGTGTGTGTTCTTGCACGTGTGTGTGTGTGTGTGTGTGTGTGTGTGTGTGTGTGTGTGTGTGTGTGTGTGTGTGTGTGTGTGTGTGTGTGTGTTATTGTCTGCGCGGGCATGTGTGCAAGTGTGTGTTGGTTGTGTGTGTTTGTGTGTGTATGTGTTTAATTCTGTGTATATATGGTCTGTGTGTGTGCTTGTGTATATGTTGGTTGTGTTTGTGTGTGCAAGTGTACATGCATATATATGTAGATGTATTTATATTTGTTTCTTCAACACATTATATATCTTATATATGTATACATATTTGTGTGTGTGTGTGTGTGTGCACGCCGATGCGTGTATATGTGTGCGTGTGTGCTCAGGGTCCCACTTATGTGCTTGTAGGGAAAGAGACGCAATGGAGTCGAGGGGGTCATCCCTCCCAACTGTGGCGAGGGAATGGACGGGTATCATGCAGTTCCCGGTGACGACGCAGGCATCATTGCACGAGCTCCTTGAAAGGCTACGAAAAGACGTAAGTACAGCAGTGATGTTTGTTGAAGATCGCGACAAATGTGTTGGATAAAGGTTCGGTCATTTTGCTGTAGGATATGGATTGGCGGAAATGAGATCCTGATAAATGTGGTGGGCACTCTAGGGGGGTGATTCTGGTTGTCCGTTGTCTGAAGACCAAACGCTCACTCACATAGACTTCCAGGTATGCCCATACATACACGAAGGAAGGGGAGAGGATAGGAGTATCACACCGCACAGGAAGAGAGAAGCACAGTGGAAGACTTGACCATGCGATATGACAGGGTACAATGAAAGTGTAATTCACTCCACTCAATCCTCACAACCAGTCATAAAGAAAAGCCGAGTAGATCACATCCAGGAAACAATGAAACGATGATAGTCCAAACCCAGTATCACACTGTTTATTAAACTCAGAGTCTCGAATTGTCAGGATAACCTCAGAACCACAGTGCGGTGCTCAGAAGTGAGCAGTGCCTCACTCCCCAACCCTGAGTAACCACTCGTAACACCCCTGAGCCCCTGAACATCAAGTGCCACCCAAGTACTGCCACCAGAGGACAGTGCCACCCTGAAACAGGCCTCAGTGCCACTCAGAGGATGAAGAAGAAGACCAGCACCACAGTATCTGATGATGACGAAGCGTCGAAACTTCTCGAAAGACTTCCCAGGTGGAAGTCTGCTGCAGCGCCACCACTCCTGACAAGATGACCTCTGAGGAAGAAGCTGCAGCTATGGCTGCAGCGCCACAACCCTGTGACCCCACTCCGGAAGAGGGTCCAGCAGGGCACCAACTTCTCTCGCCTCCCCCAGACCTCAATAGCCCAGACCTCTGTTCAGCCCCGCGTGCTGACAGAGTACAGCGCAGGTCCCAGCTATGGCCGGGGCTCCGAAGGTCTGGATATGTCTGTCTCCCACAACGCTGAGCCGTCACCACTTCTGGTTCACACGTAGCGCAGCAGCGATGTACTCGGTACCAACTGCCAAAAGCCCTGAACCGATGTGCCTAACCTATCTATAGACTACTCTAGTCTAGACTCGACCTAAATAGGACTGACTGACCGACCGGTACCGATTCTATTTCGGCCTCTAGGGCTTCTCCCAACCCGGCTATAGGCTATAGGACCGTCTATCAGCTTAGGCCTTTAGGGCCCGTCTGTCCTAGGGGTAGCCCGGGCCTGCTATTCGCAGTTAGGATAGCTGTAGGAAATTCAGTTAGTACGGGCCTGTATTTTCCCGTATTTACAGATATGTCCCTCACGAATTTTCCTTACAGGCACGTCACTCGGTTAGCCCTCAGTCAAACAAAATTACGAATCTGTCCTACCTATGGTACAGCCTCGACAGAGAGAGGCTACAGGCGACCAGAAACAGCAAGTCATTGCAGGGGGGTGCGAGGCGGGGGAGTGTAGAGATTGTACGCCTCCAACAGACAGGGAAGTCCTAGTCTTTACAGGGGCGAAGCATGACATCTGCTCTACGTAGTTGTGCAGAACCCAGCCTGCACCTATCCTTGACTCCTGGGGTCTGAGACCGCAGGTTGGGCAAGAACTGACCTGTCTGCTGTGAGCCTCTTCTTCGGCTTCCTCCCCCCCCCCCCCCCCCCCCCCCCCCCCCCCCCCCCCCCTTGTGCATGGCCCATGCTAATCTTCTCTGTATCGTTCCATTTTAACGGATGTCTTGAAGGACTGCATCTTCTTCGTGCTCTTCTTCGTCTTCTTCTTGTGGTATTGCAGAATGCCCTTTGATAAGTCCTGTGGTGTGCAGCCAGGCGAAACGCGTCGGGGGGAATGTGCGCGTCTTATGAGCATGCCATGTCTGGGCAGATGCTGGGATTTACTCTTCTGAAGCATAGAAGCAGAGCGATTGGCCTCGCTTTCTTCCAACTCTTCCCATTTTTTTTGTTTTTTGTTTCCAACTCTTCCCCTTTCTTAATTCCTCAGGAATTCCGTTCATGTACCTCCATCTGGATTTGAACACAGGTCTGTATTTCAAATGTTTGCGGGTGTACCAACTGAGCTAGGCCCGTTCTTCTTCTTCTTCTTTTTCTTTTTCTTTTTCTTTTTCTTTTTCTTTTTCTCTACTTCCCCGGTCTAGTGTTGACCCCCTGCTGTCGAATGTTATTTTAATAATTCTATAAACTTGCTGTTCTGTTGGTCAGGGGCGAGTGCCAAAATCGATTATCATAATATGTTATTATGATAATAATGTGAGTTCCATGATTTACGGCTCCAGGGCCTTTGGCCTCCGTGGATCTTTCAATATACCATTGCGCACCATGAGGGGTACTCAAGGTTTTAATTTTTAAATACAGGCTGTGGCAGTGGCCCCGGTTGTTAGCCTCGTCTCGGCTCCCACCGTCCTCGTTCAGTTTCATGGTTGTCGCTGAGAAGCAACTGGACTGTTGGCCCCCAGAATAGATGGGGCTGTGTGAGAGTGTGTGTTTAGGAAACAAAAAAAATCAGTATAACATTAAGGGCAAGTGTAGACACTACGTCCTGGTCTGAAGCCATGAGGGGGTTCATAAATACCGTCTTCACCCAAATGGAACAGCCGGTCATTATCGCTGTATGTAGACTGAAAATTGCACCAAATACAGCTATAATGACCGTACGTTCTATTCGGGTTCATAAATAGCTTCCAAGCAGGGTTTTGCATACCCACCGACCGCCGACCCTGACCGCCCACCATTTTGCAGCGGACCGGTCGGCGGTCTGCCGACCAGTCAGTAAACAGCCATCCACGGATTTAAAAAAAATCTGACTACGGGGCTGTACTGCGCTTGCTGAGTACAACCCAAATCTGCTGAGAAACTTTTGGGGATGAGGGGGGGTTGGGGGAGGTTATGGGGGGTGTATTGGGGGGTATAGGGGTGGTATAGGTTTGTTTTTGTTTTTGTTTTTTTTTGGGGGGGGGGGGGGGTATGAGGGTGTTGGGGGGTGTATATGGGTTTTGGGGGGTTATCGGGGGTTATGGACTCCCTTTTTTTAAGTTTTTTAAACTTTTTTTCTTTTTCATTTTTTTTTCCTTATTTTGCTGGGTGCCGGCAACCCCCGACGGGTAGGTGCCGACAAGCGGACTGGTCGAGGGGCGCGCTGACCGTCGGCCTGTTCAACTCTGGTTCCAAGGTCATTCTAAAATGAAGGCGGAGCTTTTCATCAGGAGGAGAGGTGGTCAGACGGGAATCCAAGTGGTGCTTTTTGCTGTATTTCTTGGGTTTTGTCTTCTTCTGTGTTTCTCTACTCTCTGAAGCACATTGTGTCTGCTGTGGTGGGTGGATGGCGAAGGGCTCAGGGTCAATGGGTTACCAACATAGTCAACGGGTCAAGGGCATGTGGATTGCACTTCTGTGAGCGAAGAGTGGAATTTCATAGTACACACACACAATGATGTGGGGCACCTTGCACTTTTTAACCTTTTCATGTCGTCGATTATGTGTAATGAGGAAGGGGCGAGGTTTACTGCTGCTTTCCTGACACCACACACACACACACACACACACACACACACACACACACACACACACACACACACACACACACAATGCGTGGAAGGCTGTCCAAGTTTTCTTGGACCTTTGGCAGGTGGGGTCGGTGTTTTCTTGCTGGAGAAGTCTTCTGTCTTTAGGTAAGTTGTGTTTTACGTTCCACCCCTTTGGTAGTGACGGGAATGGGTAGTTTGGGATGAAAGTAGCGCCAGTGGTGTTGTGCCTTTGTTGTCTTTGTGTAATCGAGTTTGCGGTTTTGTGGGCCGATGCGGAATGCTCTCCAAGTTATTTCGGACCTTTGGAGGGTTGGGTCGGTGCCTTCTTGCTGGAGGAGTCTTCTGTCTTAGGTAAGTTGCCTTTTGCCCTCCATCCCTTTATGGACTATGGGGAAAAAAAAAAAACGATATTCACCTCTTTGTATCGAACTCTTTCGTGTAATCCTCACACATTAATAAAGCCTACAGGTTGGCTTGCTTTTGCTGAACTGACACTGTTGGTCTGTCGGTGCAAGGCTGTGAGCACTAGGATCACATTGGATCACACTGGGTCACAACACACTCACCGGGGGATGCAGAGTCATACATGAACCAACATTCTGTTGGCTCACTGCTAATGGTGAATACCATACGAACAGGACGACGGCAGGATCAGTTCCCGAACTGGCCGCCGGGCCTAAAACCCTGCCTTTTTGTGCACCTCTTCGTCTCTTTTCTTACCGAAAAATAAAAAATTTCAAAAAAATAAACGTTACTTTTAAACAAATGAATTCAACACAAAGGATTAATCAGGGGATTCTCGGGAAGTTTCCTACTACTGGCATGGTAGGCGTAGTTCCAGGCAACATAGGTCAGGGAATCCTTGGTAGATTTCCTGTTGACACTGCATTAGACATGGTGGATCAGGGAATTCTTGGAAGATTTCCTGTCGACACTACTTTAGGTATGGTTTCTCATAATAATCATCGACTCTTCTCTGCTTTTTCCTCCCAACCTCATCTACACGCTGATTCCACACGTCGTGTTGATTGGATTCGGCACCTTCGCTGGAATACTGACCTCTACTCTGCAGGCACTTGGCGCAAGATGCAGTTGCAACAACTTAACACGGCGATTCAAACAGAGCGTTTCGAATTGCAGCTGAGAGACATTGATCAGCAGGCACTGCAATCAGGTATGGACCCTCTCTTTGTTCGGGGAGTGATCTATGCCATCGTTCATATCCCCTCTGGGCGTCTTTGTCCGTCTTTGCAGGAACATTGGCATGTTCGTCATTCTGCTGCGGAGTTTCGGCGTCGCCGGCTCTACAGTGTCATGTCTTGTCAAAACCCCTTCAATTTTGCAGTCTGCCCCTTGGAACGTATTGACCCGGCCCTTTACCATACACCGCAAGGTCTTGTTGACCGCAACCTTTTTCGACGGGCTGCTACGACACGGGAAACCTATTGGGTACGCCGGTTGTAGACTCTTCATCCAACTGGTCTCAATGCTGTCCTACCGCTTGCTCGCCTGCCTGCA